CTGGGAAAATGTCGGGGAAGTCGCTCACTACTGGAATGTTCTTTAGTTCTTTCGTTTCGAGGCTCGTGTCGACAACGTGAGCAAGGAATGCGTGGTATTCTTTGCGCAGATATTTCTGCGCTTGAATACTTGATATAATGCGAAGACTCGCACCAGGTTTGTCACCGTAGACGATAAGAGTTTCGTTAGACGGGAGGTTTAAACGGACTGCTTTCTCGAAGCACATGATGTCGGCGCGATGAAGACTCAACCAATCCATGCCGATGATAACGTCGAAGCTTTTTATTGAGACCGGCATGAGGTCGATTGGGAATGAATGGTTATCTAGGGTTAGGATACATCCTAAGTATATGCTACTGGTGTTTTCTGTGTTTCCATTAGCCATTTCTACTGTGAATTGTTCTTTAAGTGCGTGTGGTTGTTGTTTAAGCATGTGAGAAATTTATGGTTCACGAAGCCTCGCTCCGCTCCACTATCGAACAGAATGCATGCATAGGAGTTATCGAGGAGGAACGTACCAGTCACCACTGTTGGGTCAGTAACTGCTTCCCTATGGCCTATAGCTAGTACCCTCCCTGCTCCTCCAGCATTCTTCGCCTTGGGGCAGTCCCTCTTATAGTGGCCTGTTTCGCCACATCCATAGCAGGTCGGGCTCGCGCCAGAGCCGGGGACTCGTGTGATCGGTTGTGCCAGGAATTTACAGAAACAGACGGTGTGTCCTTTCCTGTTGCAGTTAGAGCACTGCATTTCACGGCAGGGGCCGTTGTGGTGGAAGTTGCATTTGTTGCACTTTGGCAAACTTCCAGCATACTGCTTCATCGGAGTAGTAGCAGCAGCAGGGGTTACCGCGGCATGCACTACCACAATTTGCTGCTTTTTGGTAGCTCGCTGCTTCTTCTTGTCATCCCAGAACTTCCGCTTGGTGTCAGCGGGTTTGGAGGGTTCCGGTATAGCTAGGGTTGTTGTGGTTGTAGGGGTTTTGACCCAGTGGTCAATGAGTCGTTGTGCCAATCGCTTGGCACTGTCGAAGGTAACGGGGTTTGATGATAGGACATTCCCCTGATACGGAGGCACTATCCCCCATATGTACCTTTCAATCTTTTTCCCTTCAGTGGGAACCGTATTAGGGCAGAGGGCCACCAGTTCGCTAAATCGGGCAGTGTAAGCAACAATGTTGGTGCCCTTCATGGTCAGGCTCCAAAACTCCTGCTCTAGTTTCTAGATCTCTCCCCTCGGGCAGTATTCCTCAATCATGAGGTCTTTCATCGTTTCCCAGCCTATGTCGTTGGCCACGACGAGAGTTAGAGATTTAATGTGGCCGTTCCACCAGTCAGGGCTTTACCTTCAAAGGTGCACGCGGCATATTTGACTTTGCTCGCAGCAGGGCATGAACAAATTTCGAAGACTGATTAAGTCTTCTCGAACCATTGCGAGAGGGCAATGACTCCGCCTGTCCCATGAAAGGACTTTGGCTTGCAGTTGGTGAAATCCTTGTAAGCGCACTCTCTCGAGCGCACAGGAGTTTCAACCGGAATGGAGTTAACCGGGGTTCCACCTCTGCTGGCATCAGTAGAGTGATACTGTGCCATGGTAGTTGCCACTGCTGCAGCTACGACAACATTTAGGGCTGCTGTATCGATGACCGGAGGTGGAGGAGGCGGTGTAGGTGTAGGGTTATTCCGGGGAGATTTGCGAGGAGGAATCTTTCAGCTATAAGTTTATAAAGATGAGCAAAGTGGTAAGAATCAAATTGTAAGGAAGGTGAGAATGACACATGGACTAACTAACCATAGCCCAACAATTGAATGAGTGTTTGAGATCATAACAAGAAAGATGTGTAGGAAAACCCAAGTGTAAAGATTCTTCCCACAGAGTAGGTAGTTGTCAATAATACTGGTATTACTGATGTAACGAGTTCAATGAAAATTGACCTAACAGTAGGTCTTACATCATAGCATACAGAAAGTTTGACAGTTCTTAGATTCCTAATTAGAGTACTGAAAGTTAGGAATATTTTACAGATAAGTGCTACTTAGAGCACAGATGTTAAAGGCTAATCCTTAACCCAAAAGATAATGATGTACTAGACATCATCTACGACGATGAGTATTCCTCGGGAGAACCCTGAGGTCTCTCATTTGACGGACCACCTCTTGAAGGTGTCGTTCATGAGCCCTTTGACGAGCTCGAAGTTCCATGACTTCTGCTTGAGAGGCAACCAGATGTTGCTATAGAGTTTCATTGGTTCTCCGGGTCCGTTCCATGTCTTCTTCGAGACGACGAATGCGAACTGTGTTGACACCAGAGTTGGCATCAATCTCCACGACCCGGTCGATGGCTGCTCGACCTTGCTCGACATTACGAGCTATTCTGCGGATAATGACAGGTAGAGCTCGGTCAGCAGAGCCACCATCGCTGACGTTGTAAAAGGTTCGGTCCCCAAAGTATGGTAAGGGTTGACCATGTTCGTCACTCCAGCGATTCAAGTTATCTACCCACAAGGGAGTGGGACTTGGAAAAGCTGGTCGAGGGTTGTTGTTCGGGGCTTAACCTACTGGAGGTAGGTTGTTGACTTCGGGCTTAGAGTCGGATCCATCCAAGAAGCCTTCAGCTTGATGATCATCCAACGGAATTTGGTGCTCATCATCAGACTCTGCTTCGAGCCATCCCGCGTTGCCTTCATTTGGAAGGTACGGGTCGCCGTGATGAAATCCAGCCATTTAAATCTACGCGGGAAGAGAGGTATAAAGATATAGTATATACGTAGCTATAAGTGCAAAATACACCTATAGTATTTTAAGTTTAGGTTCTATTGATCTTCTTGTGGTAATGTTGGTAAGTTTTTAGACTTGTTAACACATCACAACCATTCTAGGGCATATGCTAATCACTCCTCGGACCAGCATAGTTGATCAGGCTATGCCATTCCCAGGACTGACCATATATCCCCTAGCTTACCTGTGATATTTAACAATCGTAATACTTTTGTTCTTGTCGTTGTTACACTGGTTTTAGTATGAATGCAGACTAGTATACTTAATTAAACATTTTAGTATTTAAAGTATAGACTCTTGGTCAGAGTGTTTTAATCCCAAATGGGTTTATAGTTTAGTATATCTTTTATGGGTTGATATACTTGATTCACTATAAACAATGCTCTGATACCAATCTGTCACACCCAAAACCAAGAATGGCGGAAACGTTATGGGCTGTAGGACGTCATGTAAAGTATCACAACACAGTAAATGTAAATAAGCAAAGAACATCATCCATTGCATTAAATATATAATTTTAATACAAGCGTGTTCTGTACAGTATAGACACCAAAAATAATGTATATCGAAATAATAAGATGAGTCTTGAATGCGCTCCATCTTCTCAAAAGCTGGCCTCGGTACCTGTCTACTGATGACCTGAGAATACAAGTTATTTTGAAAGAGTTTATCAGCATTAAGCTGGTGAGTTCATAAGTATTTTAGTGTCGGTATTTGTCATCCAAAAATGTTTGAACATGTATCAAGTATAAGTTTGTAAAATGTATGTAAAGGTTTGTAATTGCTTGTAAAAGTTTGAACCTCTCAGAAAAACCTATATTTTCTATTAAAGTAGCCTTCTACCAAGGCTTAACTATTTTGTATGCTCGTTTGATGTAAAAGTGTGTAATTTCCCAAGTGTAACTATCATTTAACAAAATATAGTTTGTACATTAACGTTTAAGTGAGGTTATCACTAAAATATGTAATGGATAAATCATTGTAGTACTGTAGTTTTGTATTATAAGAACTACTGCTGTACTAACTACCTTAAACCGGATTTATATTAAGGTATAATGTGATAAATTGTACCATGCTATCGACTGGTAACAACGACATAATGAATGGTCGTAATAACGAACTGACGTTTGGCATCCGCAGACCTGCAGGTCCGACTGTAGCTAGCAGCAAGGTGTAGGATAGTCAATCCGGTATTGATCTATACGTAAACTCACGCTCTCCCTCCAAGAGAATTCTAGCTACAACTCGGGTCATGACATTTGAGGCATGCTCCGACACAATGGATCACAATTGTTAACGTGTTCATGTATATGTAATGTTTCTCGTTCTAGTATAGTTGTATATGTTCTGTTTCTAGTATAGTTGTATATGTTATGTTTCTATTATAGTTGTATATGTTCTGTTTCTAGTATAGTTGTATATGTTCTATTTCTAGTATAGTCGTATATGCTCTGTTTTTAGTATAGTTGTATATGTTCTGTGTTACCCCGATGGTAACTAGCTATTGATGTACTGATAAGTATGAATATGGAAGTACTTTTATGTCTATACATGTATATATGATGTATAACTAATATTGAAACGATCCTCGGATGGTCACCCGAAATCCCACCAGACCACATCCAAATCGAGGAAAAGGAAATAGGGCGGATGATCTTCCTAAGCTCTTTAAACATTACTTATATATCTATACATATATGGGCATGCAATTTATAAGAAGTAAAACAAAGTTTAATAAAGCATTTGATAAGTAAAAGAGTTTGTAAAACATTTTGAAGTGAAACAGTTTGATAAACAGTTGAACGGTGATAAAATCATTAGTTTTCTAGTTATTAATCACATGTGATTAATGTAATCACATGTGATTGATGTAATAACTGTAAGTGTTTAACTTGTATCCCCCCCCCCCATAAAGTATTTAAAACGTTTAAAAGCATTTCAAAGGTTAATTAAAGGGGTATGAACTTACTTGTGGTGAGTAGATTGGA